TTTCCCATACAAACTTAACTGTTTTCCTATGAACAATCAGAGTCAGTTCAATTGTAAAAGAAGGTCTCATATCATGGCATATGGATGATTACTTTTCATGTCGAAGAATTACTCCTCCTTTAGACACATCAAGATAGTTCTAAGAGATATGAATAATAAGATTCAGCAAAATAAAAAGAAAGAACCTAGGAAATGATAAAGAACACTGGTGTATAGAGACATGATAAATAATGCATAAAAAAAACAGTGAGTCAACAGTAATTTATATAATATTTCAAGATGAACCTTTCCATCAGCGACAAAGATTTCGGCAACAGATCTTTTTAGTGTTTCTGTGCACAGAAGAAATCAAAAACTTGTAGATTCATATACTGTGTTATTTGTATTAATCACTCGGGAATACACTATACCTTTGAAAGATTTATAAGAATATTTATTTTCTTTTTACCTGTTCGTCCAGCTCAGAAATGTTTTTCGACAGCTGTTCTGGAAGTGTCTCTGTCAGAACAATTTATGTTCAAAGTTAGATAGAGAAAATACATAAACTCGACCGAAATGAATCATTTAATTAAAAGAAACGAGTGGATTAGGAAGAATTCGGATGTGTTTTCTCATCTACTTGAAAACAATACAGTTTAGTAATTTTATAACAATTCAAACTCTTGTCCAGTGTTTTTCTAAAGTAGATAGTTATCGAAACAAAATTGTTACGATTTAGAAAGAGTGTGGGTGTGAAGAAAAGATAACCCCAATTTATTCGAATAGCATCTTCTACTTGAAATAAAAGCAGAAGTATGTTTCTCATTATGTTCTATTCGAACATTATATTTTTACATGTTTTAGATTGATGAGTTAGAAAAGAAAATAATGTGTCCTGATGAACAAATCAACAGTAATCAATCATCAGGACTACCATTTAATCATCTATCTTTTGAACAACCTGGTTTTAAAGATACATTAGACGGAAAGTTGAAGGAAAAAAGTAAGAAGATTTAAAATTACTGACGTTATCTGAAGCAATATTTCTTTGATTTTTATCTTATAGAATACATCACTCGATCAACGTTATGCTGCTCAATTAGAACAACTTGTTTCACTTGGTTTTATTAATCATGAAGAAAATTTATAAGATAAATCAATTAATTTCTTTGTTTTAATTAATATTAATATTAATTTTCTTCTTTTTAAGCACTTATGGCAACAACGGGAGATATCGACGTAGCAGCCGAACGACCTATTTAAGACATCTAACTTTTTTTAATATACTAATTCTATCTTTTTTTTTCCTATTTATTCTACTAAAATATCTTATTTTTCTTTTTATCATTCTTTGGTGGATAGGTTTAATTTAAATAGATTTTTTCTTTGCCGGAGCACAACACACATAAATATATGCATGCTGACGAGCATTTTGTTTATTTTCTTCTTTGAAACTTTTCTTTTTATTTGCAAATATCAGCGTCTGAGCGAAGAGAAAAAGCATTCAGAACAGTGATGAAAAATTATTCCCTCTATGTATTCACATATTTTTGCAAAAATGTCTTTTGTTGATATCGTTGTCTGTTGTATATATACAGTGGGTACCAAAATTGATCAACCACCATAATGAACTTTT